AAGATGTAGTAAGACGCATCTTCCAAGGCAGGCCTTCAGCCCTACCTTTGCAGGTATAACCATCTGCTATACTTACCCAAGAACTATGAAAATGTCTCTTAGACTACTTTTTTGTTTTGGTTTTTGTTGTTGTTTTCGTTTTTTGGTCATTCCAGGGTTAGATGCCTTTTGCATATTTGCTTATAGGATAATATTGGAGATCTTCTAACAAGCATGTGAGTGGACAGTCCACCTAAATCTGTGATTGAGAACTGCAGGATACAGATGGAGTAAACAGGCTTTAGTTTTGACTCCTATATTTCTACAGACACTTGTTGGAGCTACAGAAATACTCCTTGTTTCAGGCATCTTTATGGACCAGGCCAGAACATGGCTTTAATTTATGCTCCTTGTCAATCTCCCAGTAAAACTAGCATACACTGTGGCCTGGACATGAGCCTGGGTGCACTCAGAAACTGAGTAGGGTCTGAGGGAATCCAGACAGTTACCTACTTAAAAGATGACCCCAAAAAACCAGAGAAAAGTTGCATGAAAAATCTTACAGCGGATGTTAAATATGCTGTGCCAATCCAAATAAGAACTGGCAACTCCTTCTGTGTTCTGCCTGCTCTTCAAGTGTTGTAAGCTGGCTCCTACAAAACAGGATTGCCTGTACGTAAATGTTTTCTCTTGCTTTTGGTATCCCATGGAACAGATAGTTCTGGAGCACAGTTAAATGTGGCCCCGATTTCAGGGCTTACTCCTTGCCAAGAGTCTAGGTGAAGCCAGTACAATTTGCTTGCACTTGACAGCAGGAAAAGATTATTATGCTTGACAACAATCAAGAATTTTTGCACAAGAAATGTCTGTTCATGTACTCTGCAAAATAATGAGTTGCATCACATCCTTTTCCTCCACCTCTAACAAAACCAGATGCAACTCTGCCATGCTCTGTCATGAATAAAGGGGCTTCGATCATTGCCCTGTCACAGAAGGGATGGCTTCCCCCTAGTTATGTGTCTTGGAGAGAATGGAGAAGCAATTCAAGGGAAGGAAATGGCACTGAGGGAAACTGCAGTGGGAGAAAAGTTTGGAAAGTGTGAAAGAAATACTCTGTAGGAAGGTCTTCAAAGATGTGAAGTGTGGGAAGCAGCTGGAGGAAGCTACAGATGTACTGAGCAACTGCTCTGCATAAGAAGACAGCAAGTGCTTTTCCAAATAAACCAATGTTTTATAGAAGCAGCACAGGGAATTTGGGGAGGATGACTAACTAGTTATAGGAAAACAGTCTTATTTACACAGTCAGTGATTCACAAAGCCTGTGCAGGATGAAGAACCAAGCTGGCTCCCCCAGAACCAAAATAGTGATCGCACGTCAAGGAGAATGTCCTCCCTGGGCTGTGCTTCCCATGCTGACAGCAAGGATGAGAAAGAAAATCACTGCTTTGTCCATGGCTTAGTTGCTGTAGGCACCTCACCAAGCTCAGGTTTCCCATGTCACGACAGTTCTGAGCATGCACCTTACTGATGAACCTGTGCTGCTCCCCATGTATAGTTTGATCAGCCTTTGGCTACTTAATTTCAGAACACTGGAAAGCTTACTTTATGCCCTGGATCAGAGTTTAGCATTGGTGCTGCTGTAGCCGTACACCTGTTTATGGGAAACTCCACTGTTTCCCAGAGAATAGCATTTCTAGACTCTTAAATTTTGTGGTGTAGCACTTCAACATCTGTAAATGTTATCACTACCATACTTGTGGTCAAGGTCGGGTGGACCAGCGGTTGACCTATTCTCAGTGAAAGTCACTGCACCCATCTAGGTGCCTTAAACGGTCAAATCATGCAATGCTCATGACAGGCACTTTGAGGTACAGTTCTGCAAAATAATCAGGGTAAAATAAAACTTAGCTATTTTGTCCTGGATGGCTATAGCTTTGGGCAGAGATGTGAACTGCAGACTGAATTATAATTAAAAGTGTCTCAGCAGAGAACAAACAACATTGCGCAAAGCTATAGCCACAGCTCAGTACAAGTTCTGAGGTGATACACAAACACACACACACACACAGAGCCAGCTGAGGTATCCGAGCATGGAGCTGCAGTTAGAAGTACAGCCAAACCTGAAATGCCTGCAAATACTAGTTTGGCTCTGAGCATTTATCTAACTGTTCCTTTTCCAAGCATTTGTTCCCCCTTTTTTTTTTTTTCCAAACTTTATAACATTTTGTGATTCAGTCTGCTGTACTTATTAATACTAAATAAAAAAGCAATTTATTCTATGAATAGTCCCACCAGAATCAATGGCACTATTCAGAAGTACAATACAGATCAAAGTAACAGTGAGAGAATTGGACTGTAGGCTCTTTGATTTTATATTTTTGCTAATTGCCTAGTACATTTGTGGGAATACTGTTAAAAGGAAGCCCCATGTAACTCATTAACATTCAGACTACAAATACTCTTCTAGCAGCCAGAACGTCTGAGAAGTATTATTTAGCTCATGTAATACATGGGACAGAATAGCCAGACAGAGAATTCCTTTAGTTAACACAGCATGTGTATGTATATATCAACACACATATAAATTCCTTTAGTTAACACAGCATGTGTATGTATATATAAACACACATATATATACACACACACACGCACACACACATAAAAATCTGAACGGCAGATTGGCTCGGAAATTCTATTCTAAAGGTCATGTATGGACATATCTTTGTAACACAGTATTTGAAATTTCCTATGTTACTTTATGCCTTTTAACAACGAATTTTCCAAATAAATCATGATTCTGCCTTATGATTTTTGTCATATTAAGGATAATTCCTGTTGAAAATTTAAGCTTTTATGGTAAACCTTAAGACTATGTGACATGTGGAGCTGAACACGTTCAAATAAAAAATAGTGTTCACAGATGATGGCCAACTTGTGAAGCCTTTAGCTGCTAGAACTGTGGTAGCATTAGGTAAATGAAAGCACAGAAAATTGAGCACTGCATTGATTCTTTGCAGCTGTATCACTGACGGGGTAAAGATGAGGCCAACTTGGACCACAAAAAAGGTACTGTACAGCTTGTACTCAAATCTAGTATTGCTGCTGTGCCATTAAGCAGTGAAATTCCTGTATTTAAAACAGTATACCAAGCCTTTTCTCATTGTTTTATCTTTTCACTGCTTTTCTCCAAAGGTTTAATAAATCAGAAGAAAACAACTTGGCTACTACACAGGAGAGAACAAACCTTGCTTTTGTTGGTTCAATCTTTAGTACAGTTTTGCCTACTAAAAAAGCTCATTTATTTAAAACAACAAATATTTGGGTTCCAACTGAGAGACTGAGAAGGTGTTTTGGCTTTTTATTAGCCTATTTTTCAAGCCATTCGAGTTTTTATCGTGCGTTTCTTAAACTGAAGTGGTAACAGAAAGGGCCAGCTTGCACAGGCACTTGATAGGAATGCTTACACTAAATTTTATTTTAAAGAATGATGAACTTCGGCACAATTTAAAATTTTGTTTTAAAGGAATTGATAATAGTAACACAAGGATGTAGTATCTCACATCCCTCTGGTGCAAGGTAACCTCCAAACATTGTGAAGAAGTCTGTCTTTCCTTCATGTGGACACATGCAGACAAAACATAGGCAGATAAGACATATATGCATCCATCAGCAAGAACAGTCATAGCACTCATTAATATATGACTATTGCAGAGCTAAGCCAATGGTTTCCTCTCCGCCTTTACTGCTTCATGAACCTGTCAAACATCATGACATAACCAGCTGGCATCTAATACCAGCTCCAATGGCAGTCCAGTAACCAGCAGCATCTAGTACACAAGGCCACGTACCAAAAGTCAAGCTAATGTGTTGTTATGCTGCCAGAGGTGCACTTTTCGCTCAGGGAGGCCCGATTCCAGGCACATTCGACTGCTGAAGCTTAATGACATGCCTATCCGCTAACTGAGCCTTGAGTCACCAATTCGTCTAATGACAGATAAATTCATGAGCTAGGAGAGAAGAAACTTAGGGGATACAGAACTGATGTTCTGATATGCAGGAGAAGGGAAAGATGGTATCTCCTGTGGATTACACTGGTTTAAGGAACTTTGCAGTATCGCAGTCCCTAGTGCATGTAGTCCCATCATTCTCAGAATTTTTTATAAAACGTATATTCCTCTCCACCCTCTTCATCAGCAACCAGAAGATAACAAGGGACTGAATACCTCTTGCCCTCTACCCTTTTTTATTCTTCATCAGGTTGAAAATGCTCCATTTTTCTCCGGTGAGCTCCCTGAACCTATGCTAGAGCTCTTGGTGGAGTTGGGTGAAGAATCTCTTAACTGTCAACTACTACCATTTGAGGGGATAAGAGGCTGCAGTTCAGATTATATGACAAAAGATTATTCATCAGCAGACTAGAAAAGGTATGGCTCAAAAACAAAGAGATGCCAGGAAGAGTAAACACTGTAAGTTTATAGGAATAACAGATAAACAAAAGGTGGTGCCACTCTGATTCCACAGAGGAATTTAAGCTTCTTGTCTTTTAGCACTAGGTTTATGGGATAGCATAATGCAAGATTTCCTAATAATTCTTAATAATGATATTTGAGTTCACAGAAACAAGCCTATCTAGTTTTCACTATTTCTCCTGCTAGAGCTTTTTTTTTTTTAACACTATGGTACAGGGACAATAAAATGTTATCAGATTAGAGAAAGAAATGAAAAGGAGAGTGCAAAAATATCTGTGCCACAACCAAGATATGTACCTGTTTTAGTGATTTGGAGTGGATGATACACAACTGAATATAAATATGAATATACATACGTGTATACATATGCACATACATGAACACAAACACATAGTAGAATAAAAGACGAATACTCCAGATTTATCCTAGAAGAGATCCTCTGTGGTTTGATGTCAACATTATCTAGAAGGATGTCATTTGACACGTTTCTTTAATTTGACAACCTGATAATTCCATTTGAATTTAAATGAAAAAAAAAACAGTCTCACTTACCTACACACACACGACCATCAACTCCAACAGCCAAGCCAGATGGACACTCACACCGGAAGGATCCTTCAGTATTTATACAATGACCATTCATGCAAATTCCTGATGTCTGACATTCATCAATATCTATCAGGAGGCAATACAATTCAACAATGTATTCACTGTTTTTAAGCAAGATTACAATTAATATTTTTAGAACACTACCAAATGACTTTATGATAGCAGATTACATCAACGTATCCTTGTTTTGTTTCTAACAAAAATCTCATCTTGGAATTACTAAATAATTAAAATTCCAGGTGCGCATTAAAAAAAAAACCAAACCACAAAACCAGAAAAACTGTAGGATTACAGGCACTTCAGATTCTACATTAAGTAAAATTAACGATACATTTTCCCCTTTGTCCATCCCATGATACTATAACTTTGCTTTAAAGTGTGGTTAAGGAAGTACTAATCACGGAATATCCATATGATGGTGAATTTTAATTTCAAAGATCTTTTCAGTGCTCATCAATTTCTATCTAAGTCAACAGCCCAGCTGCAATGTACAATAAGAAAACCACAATTAATAGAAATGGTTCAACCTCAAATCAGAAAACTAACAATTTAGATGATCTTGCACTTACCAGAAATGACTCAAGCCCAAACCTACTTCTACCGGCAGCAACAGGTATCTTCCATTAATTTGCTTAAACTGAAGCTAAATCAGACTCTATTCTTAAAATGTTTAATATAAGTTTTCAATGACCTCACTTTAAAAACTTTGTAATGTTATGTGGCAAATACGATGTCTTAAGTGTTATGCACTGTGAATTGCCAGAATAATGATGGGGAAAACGTACTTGTGTGTGTTTATCAATGTAAAAACTTTTAAATTTCCCATATTGCTGCTTACTTTACCACTTCATGAAGGGCCTGCATATTTGGCTGCATTTACAATGCTCCAAGACTTTTCAAAAGCTAATTTATCATCTATTGTAGCTTTCACAATACTATTAAATAATTCAGTTATTTCCTTCTGTAAGTTAAAGACCTATTTCTATTCTAGACAGCTTAAAAAATCTGCTGTAATGAGTTACGAAGGTATTAGTATGATATTAAATCCATGTGACAAGATTGCCATTCTTGCATGAATAATGGACCAAAAAAGCTGTTTTCAATCAAGACTGTCTTAATGCGTTACCCCTCAGTTCTACATACCAGTACAGTAACGCCCGTTTGGAGCCAGAACAAATCCTGGTTTGCAGATGCATTTAAAACTCCCATCCTCATTTATGCACATCCCATTTAAACACATGTTTGTAGTGGTACACTCATCGTGGTCTGCAAAATATTGCAAAGAAAACTACTTATACTTCCTCACCTTCCAGAAGATGACACAGTAAATATAAATGATCAGGACTGCTGTGACATACTGCTTCACTTGAAGATTAAATTCTACACATAACCCTGATGAAGTATCTGAAGAGTTTTCACTCTATAGACAAAGCAGCAAATTTTTTTCCTGTTGTGATCAGTTACTTCGCGTGTTTCAGCAGACCGCATATAGAAGAACAGGGTGCATCTTTCCTTCTTACATGAAAGGATAAAAAGCTTCAATCACCTGACAGAATTAAGAGCTTGTTGTTTATCTAGGAATTTTTTTGACACAGTATAGTCAAAATTAAAAACAGTTATTTCTTCAGCAGTGCTGACATACGGAGCACTCTCTATGAAGCTTCAGGGAAAAATGTCATTCCTGGCACTGAGTTACCTGGGACTCTTGAGGAGAGATGTAGCTTCAAAACCAAAAATTACCTCAAGTTTTCTTTGAAATCATGCAGTTCCATACAGTAACTATTTGAATGCAGGGGCTATAATTCACCTCAGGTCGTACCTTATTTCAAAAAGGTAAACCTTAATGATCCTTAATTGTAGCATGAAGTACAATTTATAGAATCACCATTTATAGGAATGCCTGCCCCATTATTTAGAAGAGTTCTTACCCACACAATTTTTTCCATCTGTAGTCAGTTCAAACCCAGCATTGCAAATACACTGGAAACTTCCATCGGTGTTTACACACCGGCCATTTTTACAGAGAACACCATTCTGGATGCACTCATCTATATCTAAAGCAAAAAAAAAAAAAAAAAAAAAATCTCACAATCAGAGAATTACTGTAAGATAAAAACACATATAGTGACAATTGCTTTGAAAAATACTGGCATGTTATTTAAACACTACTTATAAAAAAATTTCCAAGATGGTTAAGAATTTATTCTCATTGCATCAGAGATAAGAAAAATATTATTTTACAGACTTGTACAATAAATGCTACAACGCTACATTTTGTGATGCTCAGCAATTAGTTTATGAATACTTTTAAAAACCTACTTACACATTCATCTGCATACATACACAAATATCACCTGTCGTACTAATAGTCTATTTCCTGATTTTTTTGTAGAACTCCCGGCTGGGGAATTCCCTGGCCAAGTGACAGATATTCTAGAATTATGGATAAATGTTAAAAGACAACAACAGAACAAATGGAATGGTAGCCCAGAACTAGACCTCCAATTAATATAACAACTGTTGGGATTTACTGAAATCGCGTTGCTAACTATTTTTTGGACTCCAGTGGGATCTGACAAAAGGGGTCAGAACATCTGCAGTGTGAGTAGACACGAAGCAAATTTTCTTACCGATGCAAGCTTGCTTGGTAGGAGTTCTCTGGAAACCTGCGTGGCACTTGCAGTAATAGGAACCAGGTGTGTTGACACAGTCTCCATTAGAGCACGGGTTTGATGTGCATTCATCAACATCTGTTGGCAGCACAGAGGAGCATTAGTGACTTCACAACATACAGAACATTTTTTTGAAGTCTAGAAGTTTCTAAGTGAAAAAGACGGTAACTAACAGTCAAATGCTGAATACTAAAACTTGTTCTTGGTGCAAAATCATTACTTTCCTAAGAACACAGAGCTGTTCTTAGTCCAAATAGGCAGACATTTTTAAGAAAGAAAATGCTATTAAATAATTTATACGCATCTTGAAAGACAAAAGAAAAATATGTGTGAGGATTTTGAGACATGGAGTCTGACAGTTGCCTAGTGAAAGTGAACAACACTTTATTCAACATAGTTTGATTTAACTGAATGACCATTCATTCTTTGGAATAAAACCAATACAAATCAGAATTGGCATTTTAAAATCAGATCAAATCATGGCAGCCAACCCCCCCCTATTATATTACAGGTTTATTGTAGAAATATGAGGAGGGGCCACATCTCAGTTATTTATGCCCCATTGCATCCTCAATCCCAGTCTTTGTATGTGAGCAATGCCAGACTTAATCTAGCCCTTTTCTATAATGTACCTTACTCTCCTTTCCAAAGGTTTTTGGTATTTGGGTGCAACCAAACACACTTTAACGACCTTAAATCTTAGGTAACTGCTCAGAAATAACTCCCATTTGACACAGGGCTCTGAAAACTTTAACACGTTTCAAGAACCTTTCCCAGATTTGATCCCCAGTGGTTACCAATGAGTCAGCTGTATCTTTGGCCCAAGACAGCTATTCCCAGCTCTAAATAACACTGATTGTTCCTCCCCATTACGCTCCTCTAAACCCTCCCAGGATCCTTGCCCTCTGTGATCCCGGGAGGGAAGCAAGTGCATCCCTTTGGTCTGGCAGGCAGGACTGCTGGCTTAGTCTCTGCTGCAGCTAAATTCATAGGTTACAAACCGACTGGATTCCTTGGTGAAATCCCCCTTTCTCTATCAATCATCTTTGCTAATTTGACTTTTTTTCCTCCAGCTATGCTCTCCATTTCACCTACAGGTCTGAAATTACTCATGTCTTCATTTAGGTGGGCTTCAGCACCACAAAGGCAATGCTGATTTGTGGGGGTTTTTGGTATCTGGCTGTAAGCTGCCATAGGAAGTGGCGCTAAGTAAAGCCACTGCTGACCAGTTCTTAGTAATGATGATTTTCCCATGCATTTTACAGTGTACGCTGCCAGAAATATCAGGAAAAACTCAGGGTAATTGTGTTGATCATTTGTACTCACCCTTTATCAGGTCTAGTTCTAAAATTTAGTTCATTACATCTTGGAAATAATGGGATGGAATGAGAAACTAAACTTATAAGAACATTTATATGTTAAATAAATGTGTAATTCTAGAAGGTGGTGTGCCATGAATGACTTGATTCTAAAAAAATGGCAAAAGGTTAATTTTGTTCTAATTTAACCATAAACAAGACCATGCATTTCACAGGATTTACTGTGTTAATGCCACAGTTAAAACCGATAACATCAATATACATATCAAAGAGATCTGGGTTTACCCAAATCACTGATTTAATGAGCTGGTTTACAGCACTCTTGGTGCCTAGATACAATCAGACCGTTTTGGGTAAACAGTTAAATGAATAAAGGCAAAGCAAATGGAAGAATCAAATACCTCCTCTCATGCATATTTAGCTCATAGCAGTTAATAGCACCACTCCAGTAAAACCACAAGAATGAAGCAAGATAAAGAAAAGAGAAAGTCAGAGTGTTAAATACAATGAAGAAAACAGTAACTATATCTTTATACTGCAGTAGACTTCTATGTAATTTTAGTAGTTTCCTGCTCTCATGCTTCTCTATGGTGCCTGGCTGTTGGGATGCTCCTTCTCATGAGTGCTAGATTGGTTATTTTTTCCTCAGTGCTCAGCTGATATGGGGGGTCAAGAAGGATCACACATAATTCCTTCAGAACAAAGTCCTCAACTACCAACAAAATGTCAAACTCTAAATGACATTTTCATGTCATGAATATTTTGTCAAATGTCTTAATTCAAATGACTTTACTGTATATTTATCTTGCTTTAGTACAGGGGAGGACAGGGGAAACTCATAAAAACTAGATATGGCACTCATCTATTTTATTTAGTTTTCCTACAGAGAATGACATTTATGGCTTACTTTATTAGAGACTTTAACTTGCTTCATCTGTTAAAGAAAACATATTCATGCTAGAAATGGATCTCACTGTAAATTAACTTATAAATTGTACAGCAGGCATGCAGTGTTCCTCTATGAAATAGTTGACTTAAGCTTAGAAAATCCTTCCAAAATCATGTGCATCAAATGATTTCCATATAAAATATGCATCTAAGATGCTCTTATTTTTATAAGCTCTTGATAAAGAGGGAAATGGCAAATATATGTTAATATATAGGAGTTGGCTTCGGGTTTGCATTGCAAGCATGCATATTCCAGCAGTATAAACAGGAAACATCTGAGACAGAGATATTTAACCCATTTATTCTATCTCCCAGCACACCTCTCTTCAGTGTCAAATATTTCTGTTTCACCACTTGTATCACACTTATCTCCACTTTTCAGTGTTTCATCTGTAACACTTGTCAGAATTTCACTAGACACAGTATGGAACTTCCAAAACCCCCTTAAGACTCACTGCAATGAGTCTGAAGATGTATTACAAAACCTAAAATATGGAGATTTGTATTTGCAAAACAACTAAAATTCAATACAGCTACAGGCTTGCTGCCACTTTCAAAGTCTCTACTGTTTTATCCAGAGTTTTTATAAACAGAATGAAATAAGGAAAGGTAGTAATATTACAGCTATCAGTTTGGGGAAAGGGACTGACCATTCAGTGTCAGATCACTTAGGACACTTATGGTCCTTGACCCATCAGGCATGTTCCATCATGAGAGCAGCATAATACAAGTTTAGGTTAGAGAGCAGTATGTAACACCATTATTTTTTGATTTGGCAGGATAATTTTGAAATAAGACTTTTCTTTAACTCTGTACAAAAATACCTAACGATTTCTGGCTTCTTAAGCCTGAGGGGCAGGCTGGGGAGTAGGCAGCCAGAGAGGTAGAGTAGTGTGGAAGCAGTGTTCATTTATATTCCATTAACCTTACCCCAGTCAGTGAAATCTAACTGTTCCCAATGCCCCAAGACTGTTCTTTCAGTAATGAGAAGAGTATCCAAGCAAGCCTTTAATTTCATTTAATACGTATCAGAAATTCCATGCAGTTAAGTTCCTGCCTATCTTTCCAAGACAACTTTCTGTGTGATTTATAGGAACCACCACTCACAAATCAATGATTTAGTGTGGCACTTAAGAAACTCTGGCTACTTCTTTATAATACAATTAGAAAGCAACAGTGAAACAAAGCTGTGTTATCTAAGATAAATATTCACAAAGTATACTCTCTTATAAAAAGTGTTCTGAATATAAGCAGCTACTTAAAAGGCAAACCACTGAAGAGGCAAAATAATCAGTAATGACTGATCTGTTTCACACAGAAAAAAATAGGCAAAATGACACTTAAACATGCTGGAAGCATTATTAGGGTTTTTCCCCCACTTTCAATCTAGGACATTACTGTAGCTGGCACAGCATCTTCTGCTTTTGTTAAACCAGCTGAAACTTTTGTTTTGATCCCAGTACATCTAAAATTGCCTCAGTTTTCAGACTACTGTTTCATGCTGAGGTGTGCATTACAAAGTCGAGACTAAGTTCCCTAAGTGAATACACCTTTTTCCTGGGCATATACTGTGTGTTAGAGAATTAAACAGGTCAACATTTTTTTTTTTCCATCCACCTATCAATCTAGTCTCACAGTTTTCAGGCACTTTAACCTCAAACTGAAAATCAGATACAATTTCACTACTATCACAAGCCTGGAGTGGAAGGTGAACGGCAAGGCTGGTGGCCTACAGGGTGACCCCACAGAAGAGAAAGGGACAGAATGCCACCCAGCTGTTAAGAACACATTATATCTTTCTGTCAATCAACTTCAGCACCCAGACATGTAAATCTGATGGGTCTTTTAAACCACAGATGGTTGTCCTACTTCATTTTTTCATGCACGATTTCTTCAATGAGAATTGAAAAATAAAAAGGTTTAAATTAAATCCATATAGCTTTACTTGCTGCAACCTAAGTATAAAGGGGCACAAAGATAGAGCAAATGAAGCATTTCACAATAGGCTCAACCACAGAGTTTAAATCCTGTTCTGGACTAATCCCAAAAGCCACTCTCAGATTAAATTAATACATTACTACGTGGTCATTTAAGCTGGGAAGCCAAAAGGGAGCCAAAGGCACCATTTCTTTTGTGCCAGTGTTACTGAAACTGGTGTTCACTAAAAGCAGAAGTCTAAAAGGTCACCCAAGCTCAGGTGAGGCCTTTGGTTTATCTACTTACCTAAAATTTCCTAACATTATTAATTCCTAGTATTTAATCTGGAGTTACCTCTTATTTAGGAGTTAACCTTACACCTGCATCAAGAATTGCTTTTGTTTGACTTTATTTTCCACAGTTCATTTTTTCCTAAACTCTCTTAACTTATATATGCCACATTATCAATATGTGCATTTGATTAATAATCAAATGCTTGTAATAGTATCAAACCATACTAATTTTTACCGCGGCGTTGCCATTTATTTTCCATGCTTTGCAAATTAAAAAAAAGGGCTTTGTGAGTTTAACAGCATTCAAACCTCATATGCCACAGTGAACTGCTACTTAATCACAGGCCAGCTTTATGCTACCTGCTGAAATGAAGCACAAAGTAGCTCAAATTTGTCTTACCTTAATAGGAAATTATTTTAGGAACAGGTGACACTGTGCCTTTCCATGGTGTGCAGGCTCATTTTTTAGAGCTATGTGCTCTTTCAATATATTTCTTCATGCAGAATAATTCTTCATAAGCATGAGCAAGCATTTAACATAATTATGCTCTACCATGATGTTATTTATCACTGCTTTTTAATGATTCGAACACAGGATGGTTGTCTCAAAAAGTACAGTTTAAAAAGGCCTTTCAGTTTTTTCAGTTGCTAGCTTTGTAACAACCATATATTCAGATTTTTATCATTACTCATCTTTATTTCTTCATTTGAACTTAGAAAGCAAAAATAATAAAAATGTAATAAATACATTGTGTTATCAAATAAATAACAAACATCTGTGTGCTTCACACGATATTTTGAACTTGCCCCCAAATAACAAAGAATATGAATACAAGCTGTGAACTAGATTTCGTCAAGAAACATTAGTTCAAATGCCAGCTTTCAGAAGATGCTCAGCACATTTCAAGACAGTTCCTCAAGAGTCAAGGTCCACATAGTTAAAAATATTACTGATTTCAACAACGCAAAATTCAGTGCTGGGAACAAAAGTGCCAGGGCTCTCCATACACTGTAAAGAAAGAATAGCCATGCAAGACAGATTTATAGTAAAACTCCCACTCCCCACTTACAATGCACTTACAGCTCTTGAGGCTCAAGGATGCAGCAACAGACTAAGCCTCTTGAATTCCCCAGCCAGAGATGAGAGGTACAGAAAACTCTCAGCCAAACAAAAGAAGCTGAAAAAGTGGGACCTGCTATATCATAGAGGACAACTTGGAAGAAGAACTGTTACAGTCTTCAAGTGCACAAAAGTGCAAAGAGAAGGGTACTGAATTGCTTTCCTTATATACTGTGGACAAGACAAGAAACAATGAACTGAAATTTTTTGCAAAATAGTGTTTAAATTAGATCAGACGTTCTGAAAACTTTCTGGAAGTTCAACTATTGGAGCACTGCAACTGCCTGTGGCAGTGGTGGAATCTCCATCAACTGACACTTCTTAAGAAGACAGTGTACAAACAGTTGTCAGAAATGATGCAGCTATAACTGACCTCCCTGGTGCAAGAGAATGGCCTAGCTAAGGGGCCTTGCAAACTTCCAGGTGCCGTGTATCAGGTCAATTTGAGAAAGGAAAACAGAGAGCTTAAACATGGTAAGAAACAGGGACATCAAAGGAAAAGTACTATTCAAAAGTTGTCACATTTCACATTTCCAGAAGGCAGGGTGCCAAGCCAGGCAGGTCCTGATACCCAGTTTGCAATTTAGCTGGAAGTGGAGAATTTGCAACTCAGAGATGCAGTATTCCCAGCTCAGCTTCTGGTTGATACCCACTCTGCTGCATGTATGTCAAAATCTGCCTGTAGTATTCTCACTTGCATATACCGTAAACTGCATAGTCATGTATTAGAAGATTTTTTTAAAGATTCATGTAACTGCAATTTTCTGCGTTCCTTTGTTCCTGTATTTTTCTCTAATCTACAGTCACACTAGAAATTGATTCTAAAAGCACAGTTTCAGTGAGAAAAGCCTATTGCTAATAAGCTCTTCTACAATATCTTTCATTCACAGATCTCAAATCTCTTTATAAAGAATCAGTAAGCAAATATTCAATCAGAAATATAACCAGACCTTTCTATTTAGGATCTTATATGTTTACTAAGTTGTATCCTGCATACAGGATTGTTCTCCACACACTTTAGATTGGACATTAGGAAAAATTTCTTTACTGAAAGAATGGTCAAGCCTTGGAACAGGCTGCCCAGGGAAGTGGTAGAGTCACCATGCCTGGAAGTATTTAAAAGACATGCAGATGAGGCGCTTAGGGACATGGTTTAGTGGGCATGGTGGTGTTGGGTTGGCGGTTGGACTCAAGGATCGTAGAGGTCTTTTCCAACCTTAATGGTTCTATGATTCTATGATTCTAACTACCCCACAAGAACCCCCAGACTTTGTATTTTCACTGAAATACCTGATGAGCCTTTGAGACTGCAAGAGTGAAGTCCACAGTAACTGAATGAAAGCGCAGAATCCCAAATTCAGCTCGTTATAAAAAGTTAGCATTCCGTATTTTCATATGAAATGCAAATATAATCAAAAGTTAATTAATGCATTTTTTTAATGACTTGATATCTTTCAAACTGTCATTCATCCTTACCAGTAGGTAAAACATAAATTCTACCCTTCATTATCTTGAACATAAGTCAACACTAACCCCTGTAGCAAAAATGGAGCTATGCAAGCATAACAAAAGAGAACACGGAACAGAACTTACTTTACCGAATGTGAAGACAAAAATGTACAATACCCATCAAGAACAGGAATACTCAATACCAGTATTTCCGACTAAAGAATTCTTTTTTTTTTTAAGGACACAGGTAACTCTCATGAAGATTTTAAATTATTCTATTGTAAGTAATACCATGGTCTTTGCACCCTCTCTCACAAGAGCAAGATCATTAAAATTAGTATGTATGTGGGGGAAAAAGAATATGCATTTTTTTTTTTTTAAACCTGATATAAGCAGAAAAACACTAGTATTTTAAAACTGAATAATGGATGTTAAAAATGTGCACTTACCAATACAATCCCCATTTGCATCCTGCTTATATCCCATGTTGCACTCGCAGCGGTAGCTAGAAAGGGTTGGTATACAACGTCCATTTAAACAAAGGTTGGGATGGTGCTTACAGATGTCTATTGTCTGATTGAGTATTGCTAATAAAAAAAACAGAACATGAGACAAATACTCATATTTTCAAATAGAAGTAAATATGAAGATTACACTTGGCTTCATAAAGTATGTTATCAGGTGCATAAATATATGCATCAAATCAAGTATTTTTTCCAAGCACTATGTGTTGACATGACAGTAAACTAACAAAAACAAGTCGCTCTTAGAAACAAAAACCAGTCTTAATTATGATTTACCATTTATGTGAATAGCCTGATGAGATTGCCAGTGGCCTCATGAATAAACCACAATTTGGGTGAAAGTTGAAGCAGACTGTTCCTCCGTGTTTACTATTTTTGGTGTACCTGTCTTAATAATACTCGTTGCATTTTATTAACTTTATGGTTCTGATCCTAGAGACGTGCTTACACGTTATAAAAAACTTTACACATATGAGACTTCCCTCAGTATATTATTCATCTTAGGCTTTCAGTCAAGGCAGTGTTCCTGCAGAATAGGTAAGTTTTACATTTGGAAGAACAAGGAAAAAGAACAGTTTATTTTAAACCCTGGTGGTTTTTGGAAAACAGTTAGAAATTTGGAGTTTTATCAGTGCTGACCAAGACAGATCAGCAGGGACAGCACAGGCTCAAGGACTCTATAACTCAAGTCAAGGAAAAAATCTCTACATCTGAACTCTTGTTAAAAAATGGGCTCCTGAACTTCCTAATGTATCAGCTGAGGTCTCTTAAATGTGCTTGAATACAAAGGCATTTTTATGTGTTAAGAACACGTATCATTTCCAGACTAAAAACTAAGGAGAAGAAAAGGAAAAAATAGAAGGAATAAAAAAAAAGAGAGAAACAAGTCACAACAATGCAAGTACTTACTTAGCCCTGTAATTATTGGACCATTTCCAGCGGGACTTTGACCACCTGTCCCTACCCCTGCTCCACCTACACCTGGGGAGAAACCATTGCTTCCAGGGATGGGAATGAATCCTGCTCCTCCTGGGCCGAAGCCATTGCCATTGCCACCGGGAAGGAACCCGTTTCCTCCTGTCGCACCACTTCTGGAACCACCTCCAGCAGGAGCGCCATCCACACAAAGTCTGTGGTGTTCATCTATTAAACAGGAACGCATAGAGAAGCATAAAGTAAATCAACCCTTCAGAGTCAGCTGATAAGGAAGATACAGATCTCTGTATGCTACAAAAACCAGAACACCAACTCCTCGTTTCTTTGATGTTATGTGTTCCCTCTCCCACTCCTAATCTCAGGCAGATCCCATGATTGTACAGGTGTTATTTAAGGAAGGACAGTAAAAATAATAAAAGGAAATACTGTAATTCACAACTATTTGTTGAAACCTTTTTGTTGATATGTTGCCAGCAGCACTGTAACTCCCTGGTCACTCGGAGATCTTGATATAGATAAACTGAAAATACATTTCACTAGGGATGTGGACTATTGTTCTGTGAGTAGAGTTGAAAGAATAAATTCTAGTTCAAAGTAACCAAAAATTTAATGGAACAAGAGAGAAGCTGTTCCTTTAAATCAAAAAGAACTATGGACCCTCAGAGTCATTTCCTCTTTGAGCTTGACCACAAAATCTTTCCCATTTCCCGAGAACTATTTCCAAAGTCAACAAAAGGACGTTAAAGAAACTAGTCCCAAACAATCATGGACCAGAAAAAAATGGTTCACAGATGGTAACATCAGTATTAAAAACACAAGAATGAATAATAATGTAATTCCTGACTTTTTTTTTCCATTCAGCCTACATTTTAAAGCAGCTTAAAACATTCCAGTGACCTCCATCCCAACTAGAATGGACAGCAAGGAGGAGAAAACAAGCCAAGCAACCAACAAGCCACTCACCAGATCCTCTGACAGGACACATTTCTGGAACAGACCCGATGGCCCAGCACCGGCCAGACTCACAGCAGCACTGCCTTTTGGTGAACCTACCAGGAAGCTCCTGTGCACAGCGGCCACTCACTATGTTGGAGAAACATGTCCTTGCCCTCTGATCTGGAAGTTAATTTAAAAAGAAAACCAAAAATAGTAACATGAACTCTCAAAACTACTTTCCCTTATTCAATTCATGTAAGGACTAAAATGTTTAAAAAGTTGTATTAAAAACAATCTGAAACCAAACCCCAAAATACCCCAAAGCACATCCTATAATTATCTGAGGCGATCAGCATCAACACTTTCCACATTTGGTTTACTGCAGTGACACTAGTCTTGCATTAATCCAATATGCAATCTTAAAGTCTCCTCAAGCTAACAGGAAATATGGATGATACAAAAGATAAAAAGCAATACAAACAGAAACTAGATACAAATATATAATATAAAAAGCCTACTATGGCAAAAATTAAAACATTTCATGTAACAACTGCAACATCAGTAAATTCATTTAATGGATTTTTCCTTGGTGTAGATGTATCTGACTGAAGAAATGCTATCCAGTCTGCTCTGCTCAGTAGACTGAATGTACAATAGTGTATTTTCAGTAGTGCCATGTGAAAACTACTCTATATAAATGTGTCAGTGTTTATTATACTCTAGTTCCTTCAAGGACACATCCTAGATCTTTTGTCACACTCCCGATTGCTGACTAGGAGAAAAGCTCAATTCATTTGGAAAGACATGGTACTAATTACAACAGCCGATCACATCCTGGTATTTTGGTTAAAAGCAAATATTTATCTTAAACTGGGAAGAATAAAAAATTTGTATTAATAAGGATTACATTCTTCACTTTTCTCCTAAGAAAAGGAGAAATTATACTTCTAGAGTATACAAATTATACTCCAATACTATAAACATTTGGGAGCACAAGAACTTTCAGACACATGTTCATTTAAGGGAAGGAGACTCTGTGACATAAGGGCCTGCCTTAGCGGACTAGGGCATGTGATTTGTGTGCAATTGGTTTCGGGAGCTGACTTTAGAAACCAGATCGTAAAACATGCCAAAATGCATAGAAATTTTGATCGTATTGGAAATCATAGGTTCTCAGTATTCCTGAGGCTAGCCACGATATATTTGAAGTTTGGCACTCCTCAGATGAACCTGGATAACAAAAGCTGGCTACATTGTGCAAAAAATTATCCATGTGAAATCACTTGTAGGTCTGGTGTTGCTACTGGCTTACATAATTTAACTGTAATTCAGAAATCCCTTCAGAATTCCCATCCCTTTCCCAACATGAGAACAAAGCGCTTTGAGATGTCTGAAATAAGAAGAAGCACATGAGATATAAAAAAGACACTATTATTAGCAATTGTTAATGTTTTTTACACATGGTATGCAGTATTTTTAAGTAATTCATCAGAATGGTTTATACTATATATTTGACACGTGCAGCTGTATAAAAGAAATTATCACATGTGAAAATAAGCACACATCTTTTTTATAATATAGAAACAGGTTTTAAATAAATTGTCCTCTAAAAGCTGCAATCTACTGAAATCTAATATTTGGTTTGTTTTATTATCTGTTCCAGCCAAGTTAGTGGCACCTCAACATACACTACTTATGTCTTCTGAGTTTATGTATGATGTGTCTTATATTGGTCTCTAAAGGTTAAATTAATCTATGTGAGATGTAACTTGAAATACCAAGTAAGGATAAATGTTTGCTCCTTTAGAACCAAAGTGAGCTTAGCTTTTGGCTTCATCAGATGCAGGTTAGAGAAACAAATACAATTATCATTTCCTATGTTTGCCTAGACAACAGAGAGCTATTAATTGCTTTTTTCCTAAGAAGATCCAGATCTCAGGCAGGAGTTCTCAGGCTACAATACAGTCGTCACAGAGGGATCTACTATCTACATAAAGATGGTTGCAGTGGCAATCATCATGAGAGGAGGATGTTATGAATTTTAAGTAGCTGGATCAGAGATACTAGTGAGTTAGCATATAGTGAGGTCCTGGGGCAGGAGGGGAGTGCTAGATGGTTGGGGCAGAAGTTCTTTTGTTGCTGTGTGTAAATTGCCTTAGAACCTTGAGAGCTCTAAAAGCCGAAAGGGTGGAATACCCACCAATACAGCGGGAGCCATCCAGGGATGTGACATAACCCCGTGGGCAGATGCAGAAATAACTTCCCACAGTGTTAGAGCATTCACCGCCTTCACAGATTCCTGGGATGATGCTGCATTCATCAATATCTATCCAAAAAGAAAAGGACATAGGATAATTAGCAGATTGAGAGCTCTAAAAGCCGAAAGGGTGGAATACCCACCAATACAGCGGGAGCCATCCAGGGATGTGACATAACCCCGTGGGCAGATGCAGAAATAACTTCCCACAGTGTTAGAGCATTCACCGCCTTCACAGATTCCTGGGATGATGCTGCATTCATCAATATCTATCCAAAAAGAAAAGGACATAGGATAATTAGCAGAGCA